AAAAAAAAAAAAAAAAAAAAAAAAAAAATTTTTTTAAAAAAAAAAAAAAAAAAAAAAAAAAAAAAAAAAAAAAAAAAAAAAAAAAAATTTTTTTTTTTATAGAGATCTTATTTATTTTTTTTTATTTTTTTTTTTTTTTATACGCATGCTATTGTGTCGAATCAATTCATGTATGTTTTTTTTTTGTTGTTATTCTAAAAAGCTAATATAAAACCGCTGTTTGGGCTTTCTCTAGCGAATTTTAAAAAACACCAAACAACACCACAAAAGAATCTCAAAACGTTTTCCAATAAGAAGCGAATTATTTAGCAACATTTGCAGACGTTCATCTTCCTTTTATTATATTATTACTTTCGAGTTTTCCATCTTTCGAGAAAAAATTATGACATGTGCGTATGAGGCCTTCAGAAATTCCGTAAAAGTTCAGATGCAACAAATGAATAACCAACTACCGACTGGTAAGATTTTTCGTCTCAAGCAAGGACGAGGATGAATGAGTGAACGTGAGAGATTTGACTAACTTGAGGTCTTTCTTTGCGTCTCAAGAATTTATAACAGAATACTTGAATGGAATTCTGGCGACGAATCAACCGCCATCTTTGATAAATTGGAACCACATTCCACTACCAGAATTAATGTTGTTCGTGGAAAAGGTAACGGAGCGAGCCAAGATTGATTACCATACAGCGATAGCGGCGTTAATATTGTTGTCAAGGCTAAAGAAGATGCTGCCAAAGGGTGCTCACGGAGAATACGGTAATTACCATTTAAAGATACTTTCTGAACTTGCACTTTCATTTTTTTTGCCTAGGGCTTGTGATTTTTTTATAGCTAGCTTGCGAAATTTGTCATTGTTTTTTGGTCTCATGGTCGTCCACCGGATGACCGACTGCGTGCTCCGCATGTCGCGTGAATGACACTGTACAACATCTCGTATAATTGTTATATGTATTATTGAAAACATTATATGCATGTAAAAAAAAAAAAAAAAAAAAAAAAAAAAAAATCGCAAGCCACAGCAAAAAATTCGAGCTAAACCAAATTCGTCTTGTTTGGAATGCATGTTAACAAATCTATTCATATTTCATTCACTATATAGGAACCTGTCACAGATTATTCTTGTCGGCCATTCTCGTCGCCTCCAAGAGTTTGTCGCGAAATCAACATTACTCTCCCGATTCATTGTCCGATGAAGAATTGCATTGTCCATTTTCGGGATTGCTGATCGATCGGGAATCAATACCTTCGTCATCACCCCCCTCTTCTACCTCATCAGAAGAGGAAGAGGGTGTGACGGGAGACTTGACGATATCGGACGCCGTAAATTGTAAAATAGCCGAGATTTCCGGTATATTTTCGGTTCAAGAGGTCGATGAGATGGAAAAAGATTTCCTTCGACTTCTTGGTCAACAAACTACTGTCAACGACGACGATGTGAAGACATTCGTGGAAAATCACAGGCACGCCATGGGCTGAGAGTCAACAGTTTAACTGGCTTAAATAAACACGTGATCTGACACCCTCACGAGCCAGATTTGTAATATATTTCTTTTTTTTTTTTTTATATCTTTTTTTTTCATCCATAGACGAGAAGCTTCTCTTTTTTTTTTTTCCCTGCACAATAATATGGACATTTTGCTTTTCTTTCTTTATTACCTCTCTTCTTTCATTAATTCACCTAATTCTTTAATAAGAAAAGTGCGCAAGTGAGAACATTATATGCCCTCCACTGGATGATTCGATGTCAACCATTTTTCTAATTTATAAGACACGCATCATCAAAAATATGCGAAAAAAAAAAGTTTATTTTTTTTTTTTGTTTCACACTAGTTATAAGGCTCGCCCTTTTTCTTACCTGGTTTCTCTGTATATATTTTTTCTTCTTCACTTTTCCAGAAAACTTTGGTTTCAATGAGGGTGGGATTTTTTTTTTTTTTGAAGTCTTGACGTAATGATATATGCACGAATAAGATTATCTACAATCCCGATTCTTATTTTCCCCTCGCCATTTTTTTTTTTTTTTTCAGTATTTTCTTTGTCGTCAAGACTTTTGTCTAGAGGATAGATTTAATAATATTCCTTTCTTTACTTAACGCGCATGTGTGACACTCTAAATTACGTGAAATTTTTTTTTTTTTTGACGATATACACAAATACTAAGCAAAATATAATGAAATAATGATAATAAAGTAAAAAAACGAAAAAGGATTTCTTAACAATTAATTTTTTTTTTTTAAGAAAAAAAAATCCATACATTATGTAATACCAACAAACTGTCTCTTTATTACATCTATACATTAAGTGGAAAAGGCCGTTTATCATTTGAACCGTGGGAAGCATAGTCTGACGATTCGTGTGCATACTACAATACAGTATATACAGCAGCATATGCACTCCATAACCGTGCTTTCTCGCCTCTTTTTTTTTTTCTTTCCTCGACACGCGTCATTCCAATTACAATGAAGGTCAAATGCCTGTTATCCTCCTTGTGTAATTCAATGTCAAAAAGTGTTTGGACGTGTTGTCAAACTTGAACTAACCATCGCACAATTGATGTTTGTGTACTCGTGAAATTGGAGCGACGTGCATGTATATGCACGTAACGGGAACTGGCTGAAGATGCACAAGGTAATTTAAGGTAAGCGAAATGGTAAAGTTGTATTTATTCACATACTGTAGGTGCCTTTCCTTTCCTTACGTAATCTCATCGATTATCTTCTTCGACATCCAAGGCTATATACCCACACCTGTTTTCCTTTTCCTTTTACAAGGATTCCTCCTCTCCATGCGCATTTTGCATGCCCAGCGCATTTGACCCTTCATTAAGGTTAAAGGTTACTGCGCCTTTTTTTTTTTTTTTGCATGCATAAACCTACTGAATCCATGATTTTCAGGATTTTCCACGAATAATGCACAAATCTGATAACCGCGACAATTCGAATGTTTTTATTGACAACAAGCAATGATTGTAGAGAATGCCGTGGAATAAAAGAATTTGATGGATTCGGCCAGAACATTTACGTGGACAATTAAAACCCAAGGATCATGCCTCTTTCAATTCGGTCATTTAACACCTTGTGATTTAATGTGTATGATAACTGATGTTTTTAGCACGCACGTACTACGTTTCAATGTCAAATGATATGAACGAAAAGGTGATTCGCGCAGCAACCACGCTGCACGATTTCTTAATCGGTTTTTGATGGTTGCTCAGATGACCCTTCTCTCATTCATCACTATCCGTCGTATCAATTATTTTTTTTTTTTTTTAAACATTGGGATCTCGATTATTACTGCAAATTATGTAAATACGATTACTATCAACAAACAAGAGTTAATGTTATTGTAAATAAATAACATTGCGAATTTCGGATGACTAACTTGTAGGTTTAATTCTATCGTGTCGGCATTTTTTTTTTCAAGGTCCGACAGGCAACGACGATGCCATTAAAAAAGGAAAAATATTTTTTCTCATCCCTGAACTTTTTTTTTGATCTAGGATTTCGACCCTTACCACGTCGGAATGGGTTGAATGTCGGATGAACAAATAAATAAATAATGGATGTCTTTTGAACGAACGTTGGAACATCTTTGGTATTGTGGAGTCATGTGAAGGATTTTTATTGATATTTCTGCCATCCCTTTTTTTCTTGAAACTTGTTTTTTCCTTTTCATTTTTGCTCTCACGAGACAACATTTCCCTCATACACAGTATCTCGTATCTAGCCATAATCATATTACTCACGCACATTCCTTTTTTTTTTTTTCGCGAAGACTCTTTATGGCAATGGTCGTGTGACACATGTGATGGTTTCTGGAAAGATTCCTATGGGTATCAGGTGATCGGTGTTACGAGTGATTTGATAGTACTACTAAACCTTATCGGATTATTATCTTGTGCGAAGAAATATGCATTTTCCGGGCAATTAATTAAACTTTATTTCAATAAAAAAACTGAACACAAAAAATCTGGAACCTTTGCGACCACTATAATGGGACTTCATGAAGTATTATATGAACAATTGTATCTATAAACAGATTGACTGACCCGGCTCACTCAAGGCATCACCAGGTCTCGACGCCAAGAAGATAACATTTTTGCAAAAAAAAAAAAAAAAAAACAATAACGATACCTATTCATTATCAGAAAATATAGCCCGTTACACAAGTTTCAGAGCTACCCGGGAATTTCTTTTTGCGGATCATAAGTGTGAAAATTGTTTAACAGACAGACACATGATCGAACTACCAAAAGCCAAAAGTCAGTCAATTAGCTATTTGGCCCTGTTTACCCCTAATGGTTCTAAAATATCGTGATAAGGAATATGACGTAGACGACTACTTTTCAAAGGAGTCACCTGACGAGATGGTCAGTTCCTGAAAATAACCCCAGCAGAAAATCACTTGTTTTAGAAAGTCATAAAAACTGGTCCGTGCTCAACCACGGGATCTTAAATGCATGTGACATAAAACGTGATCCCAAGCACATGATAATAGTAAGTTGATATGTATGTAAATCATAAGACATTCTATTTTCATTACATGTTCTATATTTATCCACTGGTGCTCCCATATTCATAATTGTTGTTTGAGATTTTCGGGAAAAAAAATCCGGAGCGAAAAATTATTAATGAGTTTTGACTAATAATTCCTTAGACAACAAGGAATAATGCATATGCGTATCGTGTTGAATGTCTCCAAATAATATTTATCAAACAATTTGATACGCTTTCATATAAAAAAGACAATAATTAATAAGAATCGGGTAATATTAAAATTGCAAATCCCTTTCTAGCATCGAAGAAGCAAGGGTGAAACAAATAATCGCGTTGTCATTTCATTAAAGAAAAAAGAAATAAATATATTGTCAATAGTAAAAAATGTTTTTTCCAGTTGTTTTTTAGAATAACGATCCGCCATATAATATTTCCCGTGTATGAAGGTCTATACCATTTATAGTATATTTGAATTCTTACATTGGGCGATCATTATAAATCATTTACCCTAACCCGTTTCCCTGCGAATTAGTTCTTTTAAAGAAGGAATTATGGTCACGTTGTGAATAATTATGCATAATGTCTTTTTTTTTTTTTTTTAATTGTTTATTTATGGGATTCTATTTTCGAGAACTATAATTAGCACATTGATGTGACTGCCTCCAAGGCATTTAAGGAGACCAGTTCCAGTTCATGCGGAATTTTCAATGATTCCTTGATATTCATTCAATTAATTATAATTAATTAATTCTTAAAAATCGTACGTATTTAAATTTTCAAACTCTTACATAAAGTGATTAACTTGCTATTACAGTATATATAAATACTCTATGTTAGATTTTGAAAATAATATTATATTTTTTTGATATAATTGAATTAATTACTATTTATTAAAATTATTATAATAATTTATTACTATTGATTAATTCAAAAATTAATGATTTGCTAATTTAAGTGAAAGAGAAAATATAAAAAAGAGAAAAAAAACAATTCAAGATTTATTAAAAAAGTTTATAAATAAATAAATCTTTTTTCAAAAGGGGTTTTTTAAAGAAATAATCTTTTTACTTGAATTTTTTAAAAAAGCTTTTTTATTATTATTTATAATATCAGATAACTTAATTCAATTGATTCTTTATTTAAATAAGTATCAGATTAAGATATCTCAAAAAAAGTATTTAACTTTATATTTTATTCATTAAAACTTTTTATTACTTAAAACTTAAATAAGAGATAAGAACTTATAATTTATATTATTTATTTTTTAATATTTTAATATTATAAATATCTTTATTAAGGAACTTAAGTTTCTAGAAACAAATATTTCCAAAATATTCTTTTTAATCACAAATGATATCATTAAAACATATGAATATAATCCATAAGTAATCAATATCACATTAAATTCTTTTCTATAAATCCTTAAATATCACTTTCAAAAAACCGTTCCTTTTAAACTTTATGTTTTAAGAATAATATAACTTCAAAACTTTTCTTAAAAACACTTGCTTCACTTAACAATAGTTATATTTTACTCTTCTTGTTTATCTTTTCTTTTCAAAAACTCTTTATTTAAGAAGTTAATAGCAAAAAAGCTTTTTAGGAAGAAGAAATCAACCAAAAAAGTATTTCTCATTTCTTTTCTATAGAGCTTCCAAAGTTTAGAAAGAAGTATAAACCAATAACTCCATAACAACCTAAAACCAACATTAATACCACAGCTTTTTTTTCAGCATATAGCAACTTTTCTTAGTTTTTTTGAAGAATTTTATCTACTATAGCTTGATTTTAAATTTTATGTTATATCAGATTTTGAACAAATTGATTGGCTAAAGATCAGAATTGATTATTCCCATAGTTAGCAAAAATATAAATAAAAATATATATAATATAAAACGTAAATGTATTTCTTAAGCCTTATAAAAACTTTAGGTCCATTATAGGTTATTGTCTAATTATGCAAGTAAATAAGCATTATAT